TCCTTGATTTGTTTCTTTTCATCAGAAATTGCGCTCAAATTAAATGCAAATACAGAAAACGTGCCCAATAAATAAAAAAAATGTGATTAGTATTGCCATGATTTTACGGTTAGAAAACGTCCTAAAATGTAGACGTCTACATTTTGAGACACTATTTGGAACGAACTGTGAACACCCCAAATAATTTTTAGAAGGAAGTTTCACTTCAAAATTTTTGACATAAACCGTGTCTGTGACAAACACGCAATGTGGCCACTGCTACGATATAGAACTTGAGGATTATCGCTTGTTATTTTAGATATTTTTTAACAGAACATGTAAAGATTTATATGTTTCATAACTGATCACTTAATTTTTAATATAAATATACGTATTTTGTACATACATTGGCATTACGGAACCAATTGCTATTCAGTGCAAAGTATAGTGAATTTTTTTATGAAACTCGGTGGGGATACTAATGGAGGTCTCCTTTAACTATATTTATCACTTTCACAATGTTGTTGCTAATAGTACTTAAGTTATTTGTTGTTAAAATATTCCGCCTGCTATCACAACATTTTGTTATAACTCCACACCTATCACTTTTATTTACACAAATATATTATCCTTAAAAGGTTCGCATGCGTTTGTAATACCTTAATATACAATTATTAAATTTAATTAATTAAAATTAATTAATTAAGTAAAACGCGTTTATAAATGTCTTCACAAACGTTTGCACATTTCATAAACAAGCAGAAATAACAATGGCTGACAGTAACACAAAATGTATGCTACCATACGTTAAAAAAAATACACCACAAATAAGTGCGTATAATTAGGGGTATAAGTGTAGAATACGTACATTGCTCTTATTAAAAATAATAATATTAGGATCGATAGGGGTCTTACTCCTGATCATAACGGTATAATTTTTTTCGGGGGGAAATAATATTTACTGGTGTTATTATAGTTAAAAGTACACAAATGTAGAAAACGTACATCACCTGTGGTGCTTTTTCCATAAAAATCAATACTTCGATAAATAATGAAAATTTTTAATAAAAAATCGCGCGATTTTTTATTAAAAATTTTCGCCTGCGACGCTTTTTTCATAAAAATCAATACTTCGCACTCACGTATTTCTGCCCCTCTCTTCTTGTTGCGGCAAATACGTCTCGCTTCCCTCTTCAGATCCTTATAGCGGTCCCACATAGCGCTAGAAAAATTTGAACTATTGGAAAAGGGGGCGTGGCATCTTCCATACAAACCAAATTTTTCATACTGCATATCTTTGGCAGTGTTCATGGTAGAGTTCTGGAACTTGGTATGGAGATATACGAAATCAATCGCTTACTCATGAAGAAAAAGGGCAGCTGTTGGAAAGGGGGGCATGGCACCTCCCATATAAATCGAAGTTTTATACTGTATAGCTCTGAAAGTATTCATGGTACAGTACTGGAACTTCGCGTGGAGATATGTATGTAGTTGAAATCAAGCTCATGGAGAAAATTTGGGCTATTTGAAAAGGGGGTGTGACGCCTACAAACGTACCGACCTTTAGCTGTCTTTGAATGTATTTATATTTCTTCTGTAGGTGTGTTTGTGAGTGAAATCCTCCTAAATGGTTGTACCGATTTTAACGAAACTTTTTGTGTGTGTTTGAGTGGGTCTCTGGATGGTTTAGTTTCACAATTTAATCCGACAGTTGGCGCTGTACTTGAGTTATTACTAAAAATCTTTTTTTGATCCGAGTTGGCTAATGTTTTAAATATGTATGCAATACTATTGCAAAAACGTGCTGCCAAGTGGTGCTGAAGTCGAGTTATTACTAAAAATAGCCAAGTGAGAAAAGGGGCCGTGAAGGTCAGATTAAATCGACCTGCTGCACCATTGAGTACATCGAACGCTCCTGCGTTGCGATTGGCCCAATGGATGTGATTTTCCAATATTATTACGCGTTCAAACTTTTAAGGTATTTCGTCTGAAATAAGTAGATGTACATTGCATTTCTGTAGAACAATGTTCCGCACCCATTTTGAAATTGCCACCAACTATACTGTAAAGCTTCTAGGACATTCACTATAGAACCAGGGCATTGTTGCCGCCAGGGAGTGAAGAGGAAAAAATTTATTTCGCTTTGCGAATAACCGTGCTCTGAAATGCCGCACAAATGGAGAATTTCAAGAACTTCTTCACGTACAACAACAAATTGCTTAAAAACTATAAGTAGGCGCGGGTCGGGGTCTTCACTTTTAGAATTTCGAGTTTTTGCACAGGGTTGCACGTTCAGTATAGTTTTCATGGCTATTGCCAACACGAAATGAGAATTTCAGATGTACATAACGCGCACAATTATCTAATAAATTTTTTATGATATCGCATAGGCATTTAACTGTGCCCTAATCTTTGAAGCTCCTACAGCATAAATTCAGTTCTCTGGCTTTCGGTATCACGGCAATTTTTGTGTATAGCAACAAATGTCTAAAATTTTTGTATATGACAACTCCGAATTTACCGCAGTTTGACCAAACAAAATTAAGGATCATTGCTTATCTTTTTGGACTAAAATCTTGTTATGGTACGCATACATTGGGAGCAGCAGTGAGCGCAGGCGGCATGACACAATGGGGTGCACTGTGGCTAGTCATGTCGGCTGGACGGGGTTCTTGCCTCACTAATGTTCCCTGCGCCATAGCAGAGAAAAGTCATGCCTGTCAAACATCTTCGCTTCCGACTCGCCGGAAGATTCTTTTGAAAGTATTACTATTTTGTTTAATTATCTTTAATTTTATTATGCTATTTAACTATATTATGTTCTGGCCATTTAGTTATTATGATTTTTTTTTTTAATTTCGTTTAACTTTAGTTAAGTTAATACTTTATATTTTATTTTATTTGTAGTTGAGTTTATGTATATTCATTTCATTTAATCTTTTATTTAAGTTTATTTCGTTACAATTCCGTTCAATGAAATTTAATTTTATTTATTAGATTCTTACTTAACTAAAGATTATAGAATCTATTTAATTTTTCCCTTTTATTTAAACAGTTTCTTCAAGTTATCTCATTCAGTTCTGGTTTCTTTGTTTCACTTAAGCCTAAATCCTTTTTTTTTTTATTCATACACATATATCCATATACATATATATGCCCCGCTATGTATGAATATATGCGTATATATATATATATATATATATATGTGTGTGTATTAAGGTTTAGGAAAGAAAGAAAAAAAATCTCTTAAGTTTTTTTCCCTTGTTTGTTTTCTAACGTATTTTTTCTTATTTAATCTACGTTTTACATCTCTTTAGGTTTACTTGAAAATTTTCCCTTTTTTTCTTTAAATAATTTTTTTTCCTCTCTTACTCTCCATTTATTTTATTTTACATTATTTATCTTTATGCTTTCTCATTAACTATATTTTTAGGTATTGTATCCTCTTATAATTTCAGGACTCACCCACCGTTGCAGCAGGCTTGTGTGGGGCACTGCTGTTGTTGTTGTAGTCGTTGCTGTTGTCCTGCTGGTGGTAGTTTCCGCTGGTTGTTGTTGTAGCTAGGTGCCGCTCCCTAGGCGGTTGCTGAGTGCCGCTCCTTGCGCGGTCGCTGCCTGGACCCGGGTCCTTACCCCGGTTGCTGTTGTTGTTGTTGTTGGATACTGCGGCTGCTGGTCGTCGCTACTCTGTGGTACTGCTGCTCTTGCTGCTGTTTGGCGGTACTGTTGCTACTGTCGCGCTGCGGTGCGGTTATAGCCGCGCTCTGGTTGTTGTTGTTGCCGCTGCTCAGCAAATGGATACCGCGCGGTGGCGGTGAAGACCGCGCTCTGGCGGTGTGGCTGCTACTGTCGCGCTGCGGTGCGGTTATAGCCGCGCTCTGGTTGTTGTTGTTGCCGCTGATCCGCAAATGGATACCGCGCGGTGGCGGTGAAGACCGCGCTCTGGCTGTACTGTTGCTACTGTCGCGCTGCGGTGCGGTTATAGCCGCGCTCTGGTTGTTGTTGTTGCCGCTGCTCAGCAAATGGATACCGCGCGGTGGCGGTGAAGACCGCGCTCTGGCGGTGTGGCTGCTACTGTCGCGCTGCGGTGCGGTTATAGCCGCGCTCTGGTTGTTGTTGTTNTTTTATTTATTAGATTCTTACTTAACTAAAGATTATAGAATCTATTTAATTTTTCCCTTTTATTTAAACAGTTTCTTCAAGTTATCTCATTCAGTTCTGGTTTCTTTGTTTCACTTAAGCCTAAATCCTTTTTTTTTTTATTCATACACATATATCCATATACATATATATGCCCCGCTATGTATGAATATATGCGTATATATATATATATATATATATATGTGTGTGTATTAAGGTTTAGGAAAGAAAGAAAAAAAATCTCTTAAGTTTTTTTCCCTTGTTTGTTTTCTAACGTATTTTTTCTTATTTAATCTACGTTTTACATCTCTTTAGGTTTACTTGAAAATTTTCCCTTTTTTTCTTTAAATAATTTTTTTTCCTCTCTTACTCTCCATTTATTTTATTTTACATTATTTATCTTTATGCTTTCTCATTAACTATATTTTTAGGTATTGTATCCTCTTATAATTTCAGGACTCACCCACCGTTGCAGCAGGCTTGTGTGGGGCACTGCTGTTGTTGTTGTAGTCGTTGCTGTTGTCCTGCTGGTGGTAGTTTCCGCTGGTTGTTGTTGTAGCTAGGTGCCGCTCCCTAGGCGGTTGCTGAGTGCCGCTCCTTGCGCGGTCGCTGCCTGGACCCGGGTCCTTACCCCGGTTGCTGTTGTTGTTGTTGTTGGATACTGCGGCTGCTGGTCGTCGCTACTCTGTGGTACTGCTGCTCTTGCTGCTGTTTGGCGGTACTGGATACTGCGATGCGGCGGTGAAGACCGCGCTCTGGTTGTTGTTGTTGCCGCTGATCCGCAAATGGATACCGCGCGGTGGCGGTGAAGACCGCGCTCTGGCTGTACTGTTGCTACTGTCGCGCTGCGGTGCGGTTATAGCCGCGCTCTGGTTGTTGTTGTTGCCGCTGCTCAGCAAATGGATACCGCGCGGTGGCGGTGAAGACCGCGCTCTGGCGGTGTGGCTGCTACTGTCGCGCTGCGGTGCGGTTATAGCCGCGCTCTGGTTGTTGTTGTTGCCGCTGCTCCGCAAATGGATACCGCGCGGTGGCGGTGAAGACCGCGCTCTGGCGGTGTTGTTGCTACTGTCGCGCTGCGGTATGGGTATAGCCGCGCTCTGGTTGTTGTTGTTGCCGCTGCTCCGCAAATGGATATCGCGCGGTGGTGGTGAAGACCGCGCTCTGGCGGTGTTGCTGCTACTGTCGCGCTGCGGTGTGGTTATAGCCGCGCTCTGGTTGTTGTTGTTGCCGCTGCTCCGCAAATGGATACCGCGCGGTGCTCTGGCGGCGTTGTTGCTCACGCTACGGTGGCGGTAGTTGCTCTCGCGCGTTGCGACCGCTGTGAAAGCGGTATTGTTGTTCCTGGCGCGGACGTAGTAGCCGCCTTACCGCCAATTAGAGCCGAACTGTGTATCTGCAAGGAACTAAAATAAATACAGATTAGAGCGATTCGGATCTGAAGAAAAGAAAAACTTTTGGGTGGGAAATGTCTAGCCTTTTGCACAATGATTCCGGGTGTGTCCCTACCTTAAGCTGTGTCCACCATATTCCTACGTACACCTAACGTAGGAATTTGCCAAAGTGCATAATTCAAGCTGAATTTATTAATAAAATGTTGAATTATTTGCCTACACGAGTATGTTAAAGTTTTTAGGTTTGGGTCGCGCGTTTACCCGCAGCACCCCAAAATCATTGTACAAATACCCAAACTGTACCCCAAATGACTGTGCGTCAGCTTAGTTTGTCAATTTCAAGGTGTAAGTATGTGTGTGTTTTCTTGCTCTACGTTACTCTATCCACAAAAAAACTCTGCGCACAAAATCGTACTCTGTGGCCTTATTTCCACTTAGCGCAGGCTCATGCAACAAGGTGGAGCAAGTTAGAGCAAGAAAACACTCATGAAACGCAAATTTGTGAGGGATCTTACCGCGGCGTAACTGAGAGCAAATCATTAAACGCAACTTATACAATTAACGTTAAAGAGACTCACCTTGCTTGCAGCTGATGGTAATGACCAGGGAACGGATTTTATGGAAATTGCCTTTTTTTCTGCTAAAGAGATAGAGTATATTCGATTAAGAATGTCCACGATTAAGCTTTCCCTGATTCCATATATACACATTTGAAGTTGCCTTTTTTTGCCTTTTTTAAGATATTTGCCTTTTTTTTGCCTTTTTTAAGATATTTGCCTTTTTTTGCCTTTTCTACCTTTAAAAAAGTGATTATAGCATTTACAATATTTTGTTTTAAGATTAAAAAATATACACATGCCCATGCAGCTTCTAGAAGCACAGGGACCTCTTGCCAAATTGGTGTTGAAAAAATTCAAAGCCGTTATCTCAGCTAACGTAGGCTTGAAGACAATAAGGAGTGTGTATAAAATTGTAAAAGGCGAGGACAACGCCCTTATTCCTGATAATATGAACGTTTCAAACGTTCCATATTTAAATCGGGCTCCACTTGTATCAACTTACGTCGAGCGCACATTTAGTACATTCAAGGCTTTTCTTCGCGAAAATCGAATGAAAATGCTGCCAGAAAACTTCAAAATGCATCGTGTGGTTCAATGTTACTACAACTATATAGATTAAAGTTTTATGAGTTAGAAACTCGAAAGGATAAAATAGTCAAAGATTCAAAGTACAAATTTTTCATATAATGAAACTACTTCATAGTTTTTCTCTTTTTACTTGTAATATAAGCATTTCCAAAATAAATATATTTATTGATTGTTCTTCGTATTTTCTGTCTTTTTTAGTGCCTTATTTTGCTTTTTTTGCAATACCTTTTTTTACCTTTTCCTGCCTTTTTCGTAAATTTTTTTTGCCTTTTTTTGCCTTTTTTGCAATACCTAGTGCCTTTTCCTGCCTTTTTCGCTATTTTATTTTGCCTTTTCCATCCTATTTCGTTACTTTATTTTGCCTTTTTTATAGGTTTTTAGGTCCTAAAAATCCGTTCCCTGGTAATAACGATGGTTGTGTAGGAATTTAGGCCGTAGCTAGGAATTTGGGCGGATGTTAGTGAATCACCGGTGTACGTTGCCTTGCTGGCATATATGTAATACTCCTATATTGGCAGTAAGAGCTAGTACCGTCCGAAAACACTACAGTACAGATATATCAATAAACACGTACGAAAGAAAAGGAATACATACGTTTATAAATAGACACAACACATATACAAAAACGGCACTCAAGTACACAATACATTGACAAAAACGGTACTAGACTGTCTCGCTATGATTCGGAATGATTACACATTGAGAAGTTAGCTTACTGCCAATATAGAAGTATTACATATATGCTTGCTGGTGTTATAAAGATTTGTCTTGCTTACCGTACGACTCGTACTCCTATCCACTAAGTACTTATGTGCACCGCTTAATCCCCTCAAGAGGTCCTTGTTTTTCCGAGCTCAAGTTGTCGCTGTTTCTGTGACGCTCCGGCTTCGCTGTCCTGCACCCAACCGAACGAGGCGGAGTACGTGCAAGAAACACTAGGTAAAGTCGATTAGTGCTAGATTTGCACAATTTCACTATAAATTCCACGGACATAACGTTGATCCATAACAGTTATAAGATATGAAATATTTTTTCCGTTGCCGATAAGAGTTATTTCCTTCCCAACGTTTATTTTTTACGTTGCCTCGTAACAGTTACTGCCCAACGTTTATTTTTTACGTTGCCCATAAGACTCCTTTCGCAACGTTTATTTTTCACGTTGCCTGATAACAGTTACTCCCCAACGTTTATTTTTTACGTTGCCAATAAGAGTTATTTCCCAACCCTTATTTTTTACGTTGCTTGATAGCAATTACTGCCCAACGTTTTTTTTACGTTACTGATAACTATTATGCAATAGAAATATTTTTTCCGTTGCTAGTCTATATAAGTAAATAATTTGAATGCCATCAGATCTGCACCGTTCGTTCGATTTTCAAAAGTGAGGTGTCAAATTACAGGGGTTGCCACCTGTTAAAAATCTAGCTTAAAATTAATTTATAAGTTAAATGAATTACTTCATCATGGGTATAAACCGAAATAGTTTTGACAGGGGTTTTCGAAACTGCATGAATGAGGGTTGCCGCCTGTTTGAAAAACTACATTGAAAGATGTATATATCGTAATTCACAAAGGCCCTAACCAATAGATCGGTCCCTGGTCCACTTCCCGAAACAAAAGGATTATATATGGTAATCTAGGCAAAAAGCTACTTAAGTACCAGAATTTTAAGCAAATCAGACCATAAATACGATTTTTTCCAATAGATCAGTCCCTGGTCCACTTCTCCGAAAAAGGATCCTATATGCTAATCCAGGCAAAAAGCTACCTACAAACCAAATTTTAAGCGAATCGGGCCATAATACGATTTTTTCGAATAGATCGGTCCCTGGTCCACTTCCCGGAAAAAAGGATTCTGTATGGTAATCTAGGCAAAAAGCTACCTACAAACCAAATTTTAAGCGAATCGGGCCATAAATACGATTTTTTCGAATAGATCGGTCCCTGGTCCACTTCCCGGAAAAAAAGGATACTATATGGTAATCTAGGCAAAAAGCTACCTATGTACCAAATTTTAAGCAAATCGGGTCATAAATACGATTTTGTTGAATAGATCGGTCCCTGGTCCACTTCCCGCAAAAATAGATCCCATATGCTAATCTAGGCAAAAAGCTATCTGCGTACCAAATTTCAAGCAAATCGGACCATAAATAAGATTTTTTCGAAACGATCAGTCCCTGGTCCACTTCCCGAAAAAAAAGGATTCTATATGGTAATCAAGGCAAAAAGCTACCTACAAACCAAATTTTAAGCAAAGCGGGCCATAAATACGATTTTTTTCGAATAGATCGGTCCCTGGTCCACTTCCCGAAAAAAAGGATTCTATATGGTAATCTAGGCAAAAAGCTACCTATGTATTAAATTTTAAGCAAATCGGGCCATAAATACGATTTTTTCGAATAGATGGGTCCCTGGTCCACTTCCCGGAAAAAAAGGATTCTATATGGTAATCTAGGCAAAAAGCTACCTATGTACCAAATTTTAAGGAAATCGGGCCATAAATACGGTTTTTTCGAATAGATCGGTCCCTGGTCCACTTCCCGGAAAAAAAGGATACTGTATGGTAATCTAGGCAAAAAGCTACCTAGGAACCAAATTTTAAGCGAATCGGGCCATAAATACGATTTTTTCGAATAGATCGGTCCCTGGTCCACTTCCCGGAAAAAAGGATACTGTATGGTAATCTAGGCAAAAAGCTACCTATGTATCAAATTTTAAGCAAATCGGGCCATAAATACGATTTTTTTGAATAGATCGATCCCTGGTCCACTTCCCGAAAAAAAAGGATTATATATGGTAATTTAGGCATAAAGCTACCTACGTACCAAATTTTGAGCAAATCGGACAATAAATATGATTTTTTCGAATAGATCGGTCCCTGGTCCACTTCCCGAAAAAAAAGGATTATATATGGTAATTTAGGCATAAAGCTACCTACGTACCAAATTTTGAGCAAATCGGACAATAAATATGATTTTTTCGAATAGATCGGTCCCTGGTCCATTTCAGGGAAAAAAGATCCTATATCCTAATCTATGCAAAAAGATACCTTCATACCAAATTTTAACCAAGTCGGACAATAATAAGATTTTTTCGAATACATCGGTCCCTGGTCCACCTACCTGAAAAAAAGTAAATTTTTTGTGGCCTAAAACATGGTGGTTGCTGAAAGCTATTTATACGCAAAATTTCATCAAAATCGTATCAGCCGTTGGCGAGATTACCTGTTACAAAAAAATGGACTTCTCTTTATATAATTAGTATAGATAGATATAGATAGTATAGATAGAAGATAGTATAGACTGGCAACGGAAAAAATATTTCTATTGCATTGATCACTCAACGTAAAAAATAAGAGTTGGGAAATAATTCTAATCGGCAACGTAAAAAATAAACGTTGGGAAATAACTCTTATGGGCAACGTAAATAATAAACGTTGGGCAATAACAGTTATTGGCAACGTAAAAAATAAACTTTGGGAAATAACTATTATCGGCAACGGAAAACATATTTCTCATCTAATAACTGTTATGAAACAACGTTTTCGTTAAATTTCAGAATTCGTGCAACGTTTTCAATTTGTAAATTCGAGATAACAGTTATTTTTGGTCCCTGTTAAATTCACTGCACTTCACTACACTAGGACGTTTTAAATTCGCTATATGAGTTTGTATTAAAAGGCACTTATAAAATTTCACTAAAACGAGCAGCTAAATTATTACTTCTTTGCTACTTGCGGTCGCTATCAAATTTGACATAAAATGAATAATAAAAGGGGT